TTCTGTAGAGGGGTATTTTAACAAACAACCAGGTACCTAAGCCACTGCCAACTATTGGGATGGTCTCTCAATTATTTTGCTTATTGCTAGGAATAGTTATTTAGTGGATCTTTGCAGTAACTTAGCTTAGTTAAGGGGAAGGCAGAAGTGAGGGGTGAACCTGACGCTCTGTGCCCTTTTCTTGGAGTGCAGGGGTGAAAGTCTGTGAAAAACAGGCAGCCTAGAAATATATACACCTGCCAGACTAATTGACCCAAAAACCACAACACCACATCCTGTTTTTGGCAAACCTTGCAACCTTTGCTTTTGCTCCATTTGATCAGCTATGCAATACTTTAGATTGACATGTTTTTTCTAATTTGAGAGATATAAAAGGGAACTGGGAGTCTGGGTCAAACGGATCGCTTTGTAGACACATCAAGATCTCCAGCCACAGATGGACAGCTGGCCAGTGGAACGCTACAGCTGAAATCACCCAAAAACCACTCCAAACTCCTGAGGGGTAATCCTAAGGGATATTTTGCAGTTTGGGGTGCTCTATAACTTATTGTATTTGTGCATGCTTGAGACTAGATAAAGCAGTGACTAAGGAGATGCATTCTGTTGGAGGTGCAGGGAATTAAAAAGTACTGGCTTTAAGTGAAAGCATGTGGTTTTGATTTGTTTGTGTCAGCCACATAACAGACAGAAGTGCTGTGTCTCCCTTGGTTTGTCCTGATACCGACTCGCAAAAAGTAAAGTAACAAGAGCTTCAGGTTCACTGTAACACAGGTACAGAGAGCTTCGGGTTCACTGGAACCCCAGGTAACAGTTCTTGTTATACCTTTCTCCACTAGATTAAAGAGTCCTTTATTATCTGGTATTTTTTTTCCCCTGTGAAAGTACTCACACCCTGTAATCAAGTTGCCTCTAAATCTTCTTGTTGATAAGCTAAACAGACTGACCTTTTTAAGTCTTTCATTGCAAAGAATTTTCTCCAACTCTTGGATTACTTTTCTGGCTCTTTACTGCACCCTCTCCAGTTTCTCAATTATTTTTTTAAAATATAGACACCAAAACTGTACACACTATTCTGGTATCAGTCTCACCAACACCATATACAGTGGTAAATTCACCTCCCTACTCATATTCACCACTTCCCTGTTTATACAGTTAAGGATTGCATTAGCCCTTTTTGCCACAGCACCACACTAAGAACTCATGGTCAGCTGCTTATTCACTATGACCCCTCAAACTTTTTCAGAATCACTATTTTCCAGGATATAGACCCCCCATTCTTTAGGTATGGCCTGCATTCCTTCTCCCTAGATGTATAACTGTGCATTTGACTATATTAAAATATGTTTTCTTTGAATGAGCTCAGATTACCATGCAATCCAGATCACTCTGTTTGGCTGCCTTGTCCTCATCATTATTTACATTTTACCCATCTTTGAGATATTGCACTGTTTTCAGTCCCAGGGAATTTCTTTATTTCCATGTTAATGTTTCAAATCAATTATGCACTTTATGGCAAAGGCCAGGAAACTTAGGGTGGCTTTAGACTTCGCAAAAGAAGAACAGGAAGAACTGTAAGATGCCAATATGACTTCATCAAGAGCTCTAAAATTACCTGAAAAATCAAAAAGGACTATTACAAAAAGTGGAAACATGGAAGAATTGCTAAGGAGGAATATAAAAGAATAGCAAGAGCATGTAGGGACAAGATCAGAAAAGCTAAGACAAAATGAGTTACACATAGCAAGGGACATAAAAGGCAGTAAGAAGAGGTTCTTTACCAACATTAGGAGCAAGAGAAAGATGATGGAAAACATAGGTCTTCTAGTTAGCAGGGAAATAGAGCCAATAACAGATATCAAGAAGGATGAGTTGTTTAATGCCTATTTTGCTTCACTCTTCACTAAAAAGGTTAATGATACTCAACACAATTAATATTAACAACACGTGGAAGGAACACAAGCCAAAATAGGGAAAGAACAGTTTAAAAAATATTTCGATAAGTTAGATGTATTCAAGTCAGCAGGGCATGATGAAATTCACCTAGGGTATTTAAGGAACTAGCTGACGCAATCTCCAAACTGTTAGCAAATATCTTCAAGACGACAGGCAAGGTCCCAGAAGACTGAAGGGCAAAAACAGTACTTATCTTTAAAAAAGGAAACAATGAGAATGGAAACATGTCTTTTTAAAAAAAAAAAAACAAAAAAAACACCTTTTTCTCTTATATCAGCTTTTCTAAACCTTTTATCATTTTTGTTGCTTTCCTTTGGCCTCTCTCCAATTTGTCCACATCTTTCCTAAAGCATGGCACCCAAAATTGGACACAGTACTCCAGCGCCAAGTAAAACAGGACAATTACCTCCCACGTTTTATGCAGGACACTCCCGTTAATACACACCATAATGTTAGCATTTTTCCACAATTGTATCATATTGTTGGCTGATAATTAAGTTGTGATCCACTATAACCCATTGATCCTTTTCAACAATAATACTACCTAGCTAGTTATTCCCCATTTTGTAGTTGTGCATTTGATTTTTCCTTCCTAAGTGAAGTACTTTACACTTGTCTTTATTTAATTTCATCTTATTGATTTAAGACCAGTTCTTCAATTTGTCCAGGTTGTTTTGAATTCTAATCCTGTCCTCCAAAATGCTTGCAACCCCTTTCAGCTTGGTGTCACCTGCAAATTTTTAAGCATACTGTCCTCTCCATTATCCAAGTCTTTAATGAAAATATTGAATAGTAGTGGACCCAGGACTAACCCACGTGGAACCCCACGAGATACACCCTCTCAGTTTGACAGTGAACCATTGACAACTACTCTTTGAGTACAGTCTTTCAACCAGTTCTGTTCCCACCATATAATAATTTAATCTAGACCACATTTCCCTCCTTTGCTTATGAGAATGTCTTGTGGGACTGTATCACAAACGTTACTAAAGTTAAAATATATCACATTTATTGCTTCCCCCATCCACTAGGCCAGTAACCATGTCAGAGAATGAAATTAAGTTGGCATATGTTCTTGATGAATCCATGATGGCTGTTCCTTAAAACAATATTATCCTCACGGTGCTTACAAACTGATTGTTTAATAGTTTGCTCCGGTATCTTTTCAGGGGAAATCTGATAGTCTTTATATTTGTTAAAGGCAGTTATAAAGAGGACTGTGATCCGTTGTTCTCCATACCCACTGAAGATAGGACAAGAAGTTATCGGCTTTATCTGGAACAAGGGACATTCAGCTTAGATATTAGGAAAAACTAACTATCAGTGTAGTTAAGCGCAGGAATAGGCTTCCAAGGGAGGTTGTAGAATCCCATCAGAGGTTTTTAAGTACAAGTTGGACAAACACCTATCACAGATTATCTAAGTTTACTTGGTCCTACCTCAGCACCGGGGGCTGAACTTGATGACTCCTGAAGGTCTCTTCCAGCCCTACATATCTATGATTTCACTGTCAATCAGATCTTTAGCTTCAAACAAATGGCTGAATTTAATAAGTACATGCAGCAATCTTTTACAGACTTCCATGAGGCCTTTGATTCAGTGCACTGACCAAGTTTCTGGGATCTGATGAGGCAACTCCAGGTCCCTGAGATTATAATGTCATTGATAGAAGATCTCTGCAGTAGAATGGAAAGGTGTGTTTAACTCGATGGCAGATACATAGCATAATAAATTCTCCAGGAATTTGGCTAGGCTGTGTTTTGTTCAATATCAGCATTGATTGGTTAGTTGGTGTCAAGGTTCCTCCCCCACTCTGAACTCTAGGGTACAGATGTGGGGACCTGCATGAAAAACCTCCTAAACTTATCTTTACCAGCTTAGGTCAAAACTTCCCCATGGTACAAAATATTCCACCCTTTGTCCTTGGATTGGCCGCTACCACCACCAAACTAATACTGGTTACTGGGGAAGAGCTGTTTGGACGCGTCTTTCCCCCCAAAATACTTCCCAAAACCTTGCACCCCACTTCCTGGACAAGGTTTGGTAAAAAGCCTCACCAATTTGCCTAGGTGACTACAGACCCAGACCCGTGGATCTTAAGAACAATGAACAATCCTCCCAACACTTGCACCCCCCCTTTCCTGGGAAATGTTGGATAAAAAGCCTCACCAATTTGCATAGGTGACCACAGACCCAAATCCTTGGATCTGAGAACAATGAAAAAGCATTCCGTTTTCTTACAAGAAGACTTTTAATAAAAATAGAAGTAAATAAAAATAAAGAAATTCCCCCTGTAAAATCAGGATGGTAGATACCTTACAGGGTAATTAGATTCAAAACATAGAGAACCCCTCTAGGCAAAACCTTAAGTTACAAAAAAGATACACAGACAGAAATAGTTATTCTATTCAGCACAGTTCTTTTCTCAGCCATTTAAAGAAATCATAATCTAACACGTACCTAGCTAGATTACTTACTAAAAGTTCTAAGACTCCATTCCTGGTCTATCCCCGGCAAAGACAGAATATAGACACACACACAGACCCTTTGTTTCTCTCCCTCCTCCCAGCTTTTGAAAGTATCTTGTCTCCTCATTGGTCATTTTGGTCAGGTGCCAGCGAGGTTACCTTTAGCTTCTTAACCCTTTACAGGTGAGAGGAGCTTTCCCCTGGCCAGGAGGGATTTCAAAGGGATTTACCCTTCCCTTTATATTTATGACAGTTGGTAAGCCTAAGGAAACACCTATTGGTGGTGCTGAGCTGAATACCATTTTGCTTTTGGATCTTGAATATTCTGAGGACATTATCTGGCTGGCTCTGTTTGGTGAACTGCTGCAGCTGATGGCTGATCCAGTCAGGAGTAGATTCATACATTTCAAGACCAGAATGGACCATTATGATAATCTAATCTGAGCTATTCTCTATTAACAACTGCTTTTTGAGATAAGTCAGTTAGCCACTTCTTAATTCATTTAATGTTGAATGTTGACAGGGTGATATCCTGTGCAGGGCAAGAAAGTGTTAAAGACCATACTTGGACTCATGTACCATACTCACTGCACCTATCCTGGGTTTGGTCTTAAAAGTAGGGGAAGTCTGGCAGTTAGCCTGGAGGCTGGCTGGGCTGGCAAGAGATGGAAGATTTTCTGACTCCAAATGAAGCCACTCTGGAAACTGAAGAAATATCTATTAGAGATAAAGAATGGACACAAAGTAGAAAATAAAAAAAGAGAAAAGTAGAAGCAGAAACAGATGATGGATGATGATCTCATTAAAATAACAGTGCTGAGGAAGGAAACAAACCAAAATGTCAAAATTGTAAGATCCCTAGACAAAGAAATAAGACGTTAACCCTGTGAAAGTAGCTGATTGGGTTAAAAAGAAGCATAGAGAATATAGTAAGAGCGAGGAGGCTGTGAGGATGGGGATATTTAGTAGAATGTAAAAACGATGAGCAAGTTGAAACACTGCTAAAAATTAAAATGCTGTGGAAAGTTAAAATAAGTTGCCAGCTACCAAAGTATTTGACTGAAACAAAAAAGGGGTAATACATGGAGTGCCATTATAACTGACCAATGATGAGCTAACTAAAATCACATTTCCTCCCCAACTCTCACAATTTGAATATACAAAACAGACTGTGGGGGAGGGGAATTGTGTGTCTTTAAGTGATGGATTTCCAGCTGTGCATTTTGGGAACTGGTGCATAGCTGTGACATCATCAAAAAGGCCCAAACAATCAAAGTCCCCAGACATTGTCCAATAAAGATTTTGTAGCTGCCCTGGGGCTGGACAGGATCACTCTTGAGGTCCCTTCAAACCATACAATAATATGATTCTATAAGAAGAAGGAGTACCTTTTATGTCTAAACCACATAGATGTGCAAAGAGAGAGAGAGAGAGAGAGAGAGAGTTTTGTTGTTGCTCTAACTGTTTGATATCAATCCTAGCTCAAAGCGAAACCAAAAATCTGGAAAATGTGCATCCTGAAAATCTGATATTTCACAATAAACATCAATTTTCGATAATCTCTTAAAATTTGCTATTCTGACCTTTGTATATGTTGCAATTTGTCTGAGACAACATTAAGTTTGGGTTGGGGAACACTGAGAACTGAACAGACTCTTACCTGCTCATGTCCAGACTTTCTAAGGTTTGGGGGTTTTAAAAGGTGTGCAATTTTTGTAAATCAAATATAATATTGTTTTCTGGGTATTAGCTGAATTCCATTGAATCACCTTAACTCTTTTTTAAGAAATTCTATTCTTGACTCTAAGATTTCATTATACTGACTATATATCTATTGTCATCCTTTTAAAAAAAAAACCAAGAGGGAGCCTTTTCTTAAGATCACTAAAAATATAATTTTCTTCTTTTTCATTATCCTAGACATGAGAGAGAGACATAGATTCTACTCTTATATCTGGCCTCTTCTGCTGTCCTGAGAAATCAGACACGAGAAATCCCTAACATACAGAGAAAAATACACTAAAATCACCACTGAGCACTCCTTATGAAATGGTACAAAGGAAGACAAACATTGTTTTTATTTTTACAAAATGATTACTGCTCCTGGTTTAAAAAAAAAACTGAGGAAGTGGATGTGAATATTTTTATCTCAACTGGAACACATTTAAGAGTATTTTCTTCCAGTCATGACTGATGAAGTGGAGACATGAAAGCAAAAACTAAAACACACTAAAGGCCACAGTCTTTTTTCACAAGTAAATAATGAGCAGTTTCCTTTACTATTTGCTGTTTTATGGTCCCACAGTAGCAGCTTTATGCCATAGTGTCAGCTGTATAAGCATTTTCATTCGATGCTGATATATTCAGGTGCTTGTAACTTCCTTGAAAAATTACACCTTGGGATTCAAACTTATAAAGACTATGCCCAACCAAAAGGTGATTTTTAAAAAAATGTTGAGTTATCCAAATATGAAAAAATGGTTTACTTCATGTTACACAATAGTTTGTTTTTTGTTCATAGAAGGGATAGACACTGTTTCTCTTAAGTGGTCCAATTTCTCTCTAAAGTGAACCAAAGGGTAGAATCGGGCAATTGCTGATCTACTTAGAGGGTTTTCTCATGTTGCAGTATATCACAGGGTTATATTCCTTCTTTCCTGTTCAAAATTTATATGTTTTATATGTTTCAGAGTAGCAGCCGTGTTAGTCTGTATTCGCAAAAAGAAAAGGAGTACTTGTGGCACCTTAGAGACTAACCAATTTATTTGAGCATAAGCTTTCGTGAGCTACAGCTCACTTCATCGTATGCATACGAAAGCTCATGCTCAAATAAATTGGTTAGTCTCTAAGGTGCCACAAGTACTCCTTTTCTTTTTGCCAACATTTATATGAGGATGTAAGGGGAGATAGGGAGTACATTGTGGAATTAAGTATCTTCAATACGTAGTGAAGATACACACCCATCAGATAGAACAGTCCAGATTATCAGGCAAGATCAGGGCTTGGATGCAAGTTAGCTGAAGAGAAGTCAGGTTGTGAAAACCCTGGATTTGGGTGTAAGAAGGGATTTGAACTTTAAGGCACAGAAGTATTCACAGTAAAACATATCTGAACTTTTTTTATACTAGAAACATTAGGCCTTAATTTCAGACTGTGAATGGAAGTTTCCACTATTCTAAAATGTTAAAAGGAAACTGATGTGATCATCATGGTTCTGTTTACACCTATTACACAACAATATTTTAAAAAAATAAAAAAACTGCTCTGTATATGCACCTAGAGCCTGCCTAGAGCGTGCCCTGTAATATGGAATATATAAACAGGAGAAAACAGTTGCCAGGCTGCAGTCACAAAACCAGCACCCGGCATTTGGTGTATCGTTGCCAAACATTTTAAAATTAATATGTAAAAGATTCGCTATGCAGCCAATCATAAGTAAATGTCATAAGACCTGATAATAATCTGACTACGTCAATGGAATGACTCCCATTGACTGCAATAGTTTTTAAATCAGATCCTTAAGCCACAGAATGATAACTATTTGCAGGTTCTGATTCTCTCTTGAATTACTTCTCTATTAAGGGTTCTTCCATTATTAAACAATACAGATTTAAAAGGCATTTTTATAAAAATATAGAGTACACACTTATCCGCAGTAATTTGTAAAATTAAAAAAATATTTTATAAGTTTCATGGTGGTAACAATTTGAATTAGGTTGTATCTTCCATGTTCCACAGAGCAAGAAAACTGTTTAGCTTCTCCTTGGGGGCTTTACCACCATAATGCTCATTAGACACAATCGAGAAGTGATAAGTCCTCTCCACTACTAGATACTTCTCTACTATAACAATGCAAGTCCTGGAAGAACTGAAAACTGAAGTGAAAATTTAGTGTATACTAAAAGAACTGAAGTGAGAAGTGTAAAAGTCTAACAGGGGTAGAGCTACTGCAAGTCCTAGACAGGAATAGAATGGAGGCCTACACAAGTGACATTGCTTTCAGGATAAAGCCCAGAAGAGAAGAAATGTTTTAATTTTGTTATTTTCATTATTGTCCAATGCATATTATGAAATATTAATGCACCTGAATCTGATGCAAATTTGTATCTAATAAAGTCCCACACATCTACATCTAGGAACTTTGTAGGTAGATATGGAAATACAGAATGCTCTGACCATGAACATCTCATTTTAGAATACATTTATTTCTATGGTGTTTTGAGGTTATTTCTATATTTAGCTGTTATTTGCAGCTTGAATGTAGGGATAGAATCACTCAGCTGTGCTTTGAAGTCCTGAAACCTAACATACTTATAATATAAAGAGAAATAATCCTGGAATAAGGTATAAACTTTTATATAAAAGACTCCTATTTTAACCCATTGATTACTGTATGATTAATAATACACTTCATGATAAATAACAGAGCCATAACATATTAAATGTTTACTTTTCTGGCACACTGATGTGCACACAAAAATTCTTGATTAAAGCTATTTTTCAAATCCTTTGTGATGCAAAAAGTGTCAGGTGACAACCACTTCACTGTACATAGCAATAGTCTCTGCAGACTCAAACAATATGTTCATAGTTGCTTGTGTTATGGAGCTTTAATGGCATCTGTCTGACTTGATTTATGTTGCCTCTAGTCTGGAGTGAAACAGAAAGTTCCTTCTGATGACAGCCACTACTCCCTAAATCAGACCAAGAAATCAGAACAGCACATCCATCAACATGAACAATTAACTTCAAAATCAATTGCTTATTAATGGATAACATAGAATATATTGCACCCAAAGGAGTGACAACTGAGGTCCAGTTCTGTCAGGCTGTAATAAACCTTCTGCTAAAAAAAATAATAAATGAAAACAGGTAATGTCTAACGGACTTGTACAAGACATTTACATCTATAAACAAGAATATGCTTGATATTTCTTTATTTCAATTAGCTTTATTTACAACTCAGCATTACCATAGTGTAATTATAGTATTAGAAGTGCTATGAATGACCTGAAATATGTAGAATTCCAAAGAAAGAAAGCTCAGCGAAGATGTAATATTAATGTTAAGAAATCGAGAAATTAAAAAGTCTATAAATGCAGGATCGAAGATGAAAGCTCCCTAACTCCACAACAATGGGAAAGACTTCAATAGGCACTGAATCAGATCCACAGAGACCTTCAATTTTTAAGATCTTGTATTGATTTATTTAGACAGTAAAGCTAAGGAATTCAATTTACCTACCTACAGAATGATAAGCTGAGACATGCCTGCCTAGATGGGAACCCGTGGTTCCAGTTCTCTCTGGCCTTCAGCATGAGCAGAAAGCTGCTCCCTGCCTTCTTACACTCACAAAGTGCTGTGACTCTAATCCTATCTTCAAGTCAGAGCCTCTAAAAAAAATTGCCTTTCTGGGTGAAACCCTGGCCCCACTGAAGTCAATGGGAGTTTTGCCATTGACTTCAATAAGGCCAGGATTTCACCTGTTTTTCAAAATTAGGATGATTTCCCCAGACTACCTATCTAGTACCACTCACCTTTATTTGCTTTCACACAAACATGCTGTTGCTGGTACAAGAGCTTTCTCAACTGCTATTCCTGTCATTAGCAACAGCTGATCTGTATCTCTTCAGAGATCATCAGAACTCCATTTGGTTTGATTTTCCCCTTTGCTTAAGTCTCCTTTTATTACTGCTTTCTGTATTTTTTTTTTTTTT